CTCATGAACTATGTTTCTGATCTGCCAATATCTCTAAAGGTTTTCACTAGCAAAGTTACAGAAATTGAAAAAATAAATATACAGATTTAAAACTACATATGCACTAAAAATATGATGTTAGATTTTTAAAAAATATTAATCTGTAATAGTAACTATGCCATGGCTAATGATTAAAGACAAAATAGCTAATTAACAAATTCATATTCTGTTTTAGTTTTTATTTTTTTTAATAGTCTAATGATTTGTACAAGGTAACAGTTACCTTGCACATATCTGTTGGAGAGTCTAAACTTTTTTATTTAAATAGCCTTCCTAAGAGTTATTAGTATTTCTTAATGTTTGTGCTGGAATAAAAATGTGTTTAAGGCTTATGTCAAGCTATCTGAATTCAGATTTCTCATTCACATTTTCAAAAATATTAGTTCAGTTCATTTTATCATAAGATCTTTTGTTTGATGACAATTAAACAAAGAATTATTGACTGTAGAAATGAAAGACATTTGGAGAGCATTTGGCCATGAGCCAGGCACTTGTGAGGTCTTTACATACCTCACCTAAAGTAATCTTTAAACAACCTGTGAGATAAACTATCCCCCACCCCCAACACACACACAAATACACACTTTACAGATGAAAAACTGAGGCTTGGAAATTGTATTGATAAAATTTCCTAATTATAGACAATCTAATTTTAAAATATACTGTTTTTTTCCTTGCTATGTCTCAGGTGTAAAGTTTCCATGCCTTAGTATAGAACTAACATAATAATCTAACTTGATAAGATCGAAGATACCTATTTTTGTAGGCTTTCAAATGGTGTCCTCCAGATTCATTTTGCTACCTTCCTTAAGCAGAGGATTTGTTTTGTATCAGTAACTTTGAAAAACGTATTCTTGGGCCATCAGAAAATTTACAAACTCTATCTTCCAGGTTAAAGTTAGATATAAAACAAATTCATCAAGGCTGAGTATATATGGTAGGTACATGTTTAACTTTTTAAAATAAACTGTCAAATTGTTTTCCATAGTGGCTGTATGTACAGTTTCCAATTTCACCAGCAGTTTATGAGAGTTCCATTCCGCCATATCCTTGCTAACACTTGGAATGTTAGTCATTCTAATAGGTATGTTGTGGTACCTAAATGTGATATTAATTTGCATTTCCTCATGACTAATAATGTTGAGCATCTTTTCCTGTTTATTTGCTGTCTTTATATTTTCTTTGATGAAGTTTTTGTTAAAATATTCTGCCCATTTTTTTTTATTTTTATTAGTATACCTGTTTTCTTACTATTGAATTTTGAGGGTTCTTTATATACTCAGGGTTCAAATTCTTCAACGGATAGATGATTTGAGAATATCTCCTCCGAGTTGGTATCTTGTCTTTTCCTATCTTAACAGGGTATTTTAAAGATTTGGACACAAATGTTCAGAGAAGTTTTATTTATAGTAACTAAAACCTGGAAACAATCCAAATATATATCAGCACATGAGAGGATAAACCATGGTAGCATCCAAGCCCCAGAACACTATTCAGCAATAAGAAAGAATAAACTGTTGATATATGTAACATGAATGAGCCTCAAAATAGCTATGCTGAGTGACAAAAAGCCAGAAAATAGAGTACATGATTTATTATTTCATTTATACAAAACATTAGAAAATGAAAACTAACGTATAGTGAAAGAAAATGGGCAAGAGATTTTTTGGACACGTGGGGATAGGAGGTAGAATGGATTGATTACATTAGGGCACACGGAAATATTTGAAGGTGATGAATACATTCATTACCTTGCTTATAGCGATGATTTCATGGGTATGTGTGTGTGTATGTATATATATATCTCCAAACTGCTGTCCTCTTTAAATATATGTAGATTATTATGTCCAGCTGGTGTCGTTCAGTGGCTGAGCATGGACCCATGCACCAAGAGGTCATCAGTTCGATTCTTGGTCAGGGCACATCAGGGCACATGCATAAGTTGTGGGCCAAATCCCCAGTAGGAGACATGCAGGAGGCGGCCAATCAATGTTCTCTCTCATTGATGCTTCTATCTCTCTCCCTCTCCCTTCCTCTCTCTAAAATCAATAAAGAAAAATAAATTTTAAAAAATATTCTCTGAATCTTTGGCTGTTTTTATTTTCTTAAAAGTCATTCACAAAGACAATGTTTCTAATTTTAATAAAGTGCAATTTATATTTTTCATTTCATGGATTGTACACTTGCTGTTGTAGCTAAAAATTTATCACTAAACACTAGATTGGATAGATTTTCTTTTACTGTTTCTTTCAGAAATTTTATCATTTTGTATTTTACATTTATGATCTATGATTCTGAATTAATGTTTTTGTGTATGGTAGGAGATGTGTCAAGGTTTACATATTTTTTTTACATATGGATATCTAATTATTCCAGCACCATTTTAAAAAAAGATCATCTCTTCTCCATTGAATTTCCTTTATGCTTTTGTCAAGAATCAGTTGACTATATTTGTGCCAGTCAAAATGTCTTCTGATAATTAGAACTTACAATGTATATGGTTTTCTTCCCTAACTTTATACTCTTAAATACTATTATCACATTTATGTTTAATGTTCATTAGTAAATATTAGCTACTATTCTTCCACCTTAAATTATGGTTATATCTGAAGCACCCATCTCAACCTCCAGCCCTACCAGTACTCAGACTCATTTCTAATGTAGTAGCTTGGAGGTTACAGAGTGAACCATGATGGTGACAGGGGAGCAGCAGAATATAGTGCAAAGAAGTGTGGTTCAGAATTACGGAAACCTGGGCTCAAATTCCCTCTGTTCACTAAAGATTTACATGAATTTGAGCAAGATGCTTATTGTACGTAAGACATACTGTCTCCCTCTGTAAAATAGAGTTAACGAAAGCTACTTTACAACCTTGTGATATGGAATAGATAAAATCTGCATTATATTTGACCTTGCAAAAGTATTTGACACAGTTGTTCAAACTCTCCTTTAAACATTAATTTTACTATAAAAACTTTAAAGCATTTTTGAAGTTAGCAGTAATAGCGTAATAAATACTGTAGCCACTACCTGTCTTAAGAAAAACATTACAAACATAATTCAAACCTCCTATTTACCATCCCTAATCCCTTTATAGCTGTTCTCCAGAGATAAAGAGTAGACTGGTCCTGGCCAGTTTGGCTCAGCAGAGCATCAGCCCAAGGACAAGGGCCATGGGTTCAATTCCAGGTCAAGGGCATATACCTGGGTTGCAGGTTCAATCCCTGGCCTCGATCAGGATTGTGCAGGAGGCAACCACTTGATGTGTCTCTCTCACATAGATGCTTCTCTCTCCCTCCTTCCCTCTCTCCCTTCCACTCTATCTAAAAATCAATGAAAAATATCCTCTAGTGAGGATTAACAAAAAATAAATAGACAAAATAAATAAATAGTACACTGAAGGCCAGTTAATTATCCCCTTGTATGTTCTTAGAATTTATTTTTAGTGTTTTGCATGTTTGTTTTAAAAGCTAAAAATATGCTACCACATTGTTTGTACCCTTCTACAATTTACTGATTTAATATATTTTACATATTTATTCATTCTGTCTAGGAATTTTTCTTCTGAATAAGTCATTATGTATTTATTTGTTCAGTTAGTTATGTAGTTATCTATTATTTATTTATTCTCTTTTGATAAAAATTTGGATTACTTCCATTTTTGGTTATTATAAACAATGTTGTCTACAAAGAGGTCATAAAAATACTGTCATTTATTTTTTTGAATATGATCCATAAAGTTCCTCCAAAGTATACCAATAAGTGAAATTGCTGGGTCATAGGATAATTACATCTTAACTTTATTATGTATTGCTAAATTGCTACCCAAAGTTGATTGTTTTAATTTATATTCCCAACAACAATGTAAGGACACTTTCATTCTTATAATATTCTCACCAGCATTCTGCACTGTCAAATTTATTGATTTTTATGAGCTTTATGTTTTTAAAATGGTAAATCACTGTGGTTTTTATTGGATTTTTCCAGCTGCCAGTGAGGTTGCACATCATTTTTACAAGTCTAGTGACATTTCAGTCTGTCTTAATTTTGTTCTTTTGTTGTTTCAAAGTTTTAATTTTAGCGTATTCTAGTGTAAAAAATTTTTTAACTTTTAAATGCTTTGCACTTGGTATTATGTATGTGTGCAGTCTTATTTTCTTAATACTTCTTTATGCCCACAATTGGTATTTTATGATTTAAAAATATTTTATAGTTTTGTTTTTTATATTTATGTCTTTAGTAGACCTGGAAATGTATTTGTTTTTTTTCTGTACCATGAGATAAATTTCTAATATTTTTATTTTCTATGTGAGCCATGAATTGTCTTATATAATTTAAGGGATTCTTTACCTTGCCTTTCCTGTTTGGAGTAGTATCGTTCATAAATCAAGATTCCATAGACACCTTTTTTCCGTGCTCTGTGTTCTGATTTGTATTTTTGTTTGGTTTCATTTGGTGTAAACACTTAACTCATCAAAACATAGAATTCTGAAATCATTTCTGTTTAAAGATAGAGTAACTAAGTTGGGTTATTACAATTTGAATAGAAACTCCTTTAAAAGTAGGTATCCCATTCAAGTGTGTAGAATTGGAAATGTTTTCATAATACAAATTTTATTATTGATAATTTTCACATTTAAAGTTATCATTGGCTAATACTTTAGAGTTCTTATTGGGGACATATAAAAAGAAAACAAAAGAAAATTCATATTTGAAGAGAGTAGGAAATTAATACATTATAAGATATGCTATAGTTTTCCATCTTTTACCCCCTAGCCTTCTTACCTTTCTTGTATGGGGGTTAATACACATTTTGGACTCACAAACTCAACGTTTTCCAAAAAGTGGAACTCTATGTCAACTGGTTCCTTCTATCATAGGATGTGAGATCAACTTAAAAGCATTGAGGCAAGTGGCCTTGTTTTCCACCTTTCCCTTGAGTCCGCTGGTATGAACAGCTCTCATCAATCTCCGGCCCTCTCTCTCCTTGAGACTGAGCACCATGCCTTCAATTAAGTTGCAGAAGTCTGATGGAGAGATATTTGAAGTTGATGTTGAAATTGCCAAACAATCTGTGACTATCAAGACCATGTTAGAAGATTTGGGAATGGACGATGAAGACGATGATGACCCAGTTCCTCTACCAAATGTTAATGCAGCAATATTAAAAAAGGTCATTCAGTGGTGCACCCACCATAAGGATGACCCTCCTCTTTCTGAGGATGATGAGAACTTAGAAAAGCAAACAGATGATATCCCTGTATGGGACCAAGAATTCCCCAAAGATGACCAAGGAACACTTTTTGAACTTATTCTGGCTGCAAACTATTTAGACATCAAAGGTTTGCTTGATATTACATGCAAGACCGTTGCCAATATGATCAAGGGGAAAACTCCTGAAGAGATTCGCAAGACCTTCAATATCAAAAATGACTTTACTGAAGAAGAGGAAGCCCAGGTTCACAAAGAAAACCAGTGGTGAAGAGAAGTGAAAAGTTGTGCCTGACACTGTAACACTGTAAGGATTGTTCCAAATACTAGTTGCACTGCTCTGTTTATAATTGTTAATATTAGACAAACAGTAGACAAATGCAGCAGCAAATCAGTTGTATTAGCAGAATATTGTCCTCATTGCATGTGTAGTCTGGGTACAGGTTCCAAACCTATGGCTGAGTTTCTTCCAGTATGATCAAAAGTTTCTTTTTTCTTTGCTCTGAATAAAACTGAAGTGTAAGTTCTCTCTCTCTAAAAAAAAAAAAAAAAAACCATTGAGAACATTTTTACTCCTTGAATGAAAACTTATTTAAAAAACATTTTGAGAGGCAGCCCAAGCAGTCCTTCCTCAAACCAATTTATTTGTGAGAGTATTCTAACCACTCTAAAGCAAATATAAAGAGGGGCCAAAAAGTTTAATCAAAGAATAAGTAGGTGAAGAATGATTATGGAGAAAAATGTAATGGAACTAACAGAGAAAAGTCAGAATGAGCCAGGTACTCTTTTCTTCATTAATAGTGTTGACTTCACTTTTAGATGCTAAAACTGAGGGTATACTAGACCAGAATGGCTCATGAGATAATAATACTTACATATTTAAATTATAACCTTTGGAAGGAAGTGAAGGTTGAGAAGAATGCCTATGACAGAAATCTATTGCAACTCAAATAAGAGTTGTTGGATAATGCGGCATTGAGAAATTCAACAGGTGAACAGTTTAAAAATCTCTCCCAGGAATTGTTTCATGAGTAATTTAGAAAAATATATGATATAATAATTAAGACACTAATATTTTATATTGATATTACTTACAATTCACTACATTATTTCATAACTGAGTTTTTTTTGTCTTAACCCAAAAGTGAAATGAGAGTATTTCCATTTCTAGCTTTGAATGGAGTAACAGGAACCAGATTTACTCTAGTGTCCTAACCAAAAAACCAGACCTCATGCCCCGCCCCCCCCCCCCCCACCAAAGGAAACATCACTCTTCATCACTGGACTATAGACATCTCAGGACCATGATCACTTAAAGAAGAAAGACACTAATAAGGTAAGTGTAATAATTGCCTCGGCTTACTGCTTTGAAGTTGTTCTTAGGCTACAGTGAGCTGAGAAGAAACCCAAAGAGATCCCAGAAATTGCAGTAAATTGTGGAGACAGGGATTGGGAATTGGGGAAGCCATGACAACTAGAAATTTTGGGACAGAGAGGAGGAAGTTGCATCAAATAAGAACTCTGAGGTTCTCCAGAGGTGTCTCCCCAAGTCTTTGAATGCTTCTTTGTGGCGTGTACTAGAGGAAATTACTCATATCTGGGAAGAAACACTGAAAATCAGTAATCCGAACAGATATGGAAATATTTTTTATTTCTTCAAACAAGAGTAGAAAGACATCCTAATATCTGGGGCATTGTGTTGAATCCTCACAAAGATATCGCCTTCGTAATGAAGTTAAATTAGCCTTACCTTAAAGACTAAAAAAGATTTAACGGTTTCCAAGTAGGTTACCTATCTTTACAAACTTTAACACTCTTTAAGGGAATTCAGTAAAACTAGCAATTAAACAAAGTGAATTCTCATTGTTACCATCCAACTATAAATTATAAGGCATCCAAACGAGAAGGAAAATATGACCCATAACCTGGACAATCAATAAAAAGAGATCCGGAAATAGCAGGGTTTTAAAATATATATATTATTAATTGATGACTTTTTCCCCTTGTGAAAACTCTACCCAATGTAGCTTATTTTCAAACTTGTTAGTGTAATGCTAATACATTGCTGATGGGAATGAAAAATGCTATGGCAAATTTGGAAAACATTTTGGAGGTTCTTTATAAAATTACATTTACACTTATCATACGATCTAGCAATCTCTACCGGATTTTCTTAGGTATTTACCCAAGAGAAATTAAAATATATGTCCACACATATATTTGTATATGATCGTGCATAACAGTCAAATCATTGATAGTACCCAAATGTCCATCAACATGTAAATAGGTAAAGACATTTTGATAGAACTAGATAATGGAGTATTATCACTAATAAAAAGTAACAAACTGTTGACACACACAACATGGTTAAATCTCAAAGTCATTACATTAAGTAAAAAGAAATCACATATAGATTTTCTAAAACATTACTAGGAAAAGCAAAACTTTAGTGACTGAAAGCAAATCTGAGTATGCCAGAGGCCGGGCCTGAAGGAAGGAAATTCATTACCAACTGGCATAGGGAATCTGTAATATGGATATATATTTTCTCACACTTATTGAATTGTACACTTTAAATTAGTTAATTTTATTGTATGTAAATTTTACCTCAATAAACTGGGTAGAAATAAGTGGAATGAATTTGAGGTAGAGCAAGTTTCTAAAACTTGAGACAGCTTGAACAAATTTTAAGTTCATTGTGTTTAAAAGAGAAACAATTTGGTCATAAAAATCAATAGCAAATAACTGCTTGTGATAAATAGAGCTTCTTGAATGAATGTCAAACATGGAAAAGTCTGTTAACATTCAAAGAAAGCCTTGGAACAGCGCCAAGTAAACTGACATGCAGTAAAACTGCCCAAACAAAATAAACACGGCATCAGTGTATTAGGAAACCTAAGATTTTTGCAAGATTAAAGTGGGTTTGAAAATTAAATATATGGTTTTGAGCTCATTACCAGACTGTTTAGGCTTTTGGCCTCCTTTGATTTATATAGTATTGGGCACTTATAATAAAAATAAAATTTCAAGGAGAAGAATTGCGTAAAATCAATGACACAACTCGTAGGTCTCAGAATTGGCTCACTCCTTGTGGAAAAAGGCAGTCATCATAGTCATCATTCTCATTTTAAAACATTAGGCTGGGCAGCTCCTCTCCATTCTGGACAACCAAGCTATTTGTTCAGGGGGTTTTCTTAAGAATTGTTTATTGCTTGTACACAGCAACTGATGCAGTTAGGAAAATATGTTACTTTCAACATCATCATTCTTTATGCTGATTGCATCTCTGTTAACATGAAAAACTTGTGTCAGTGACTTCACTCACAATCAAATGTCTAATCCTTCATCTGAAATACATCAATTCATCCATTATTTTTTCTTTAATTAATTTAGTCATGATCTATTGAGCATCTCCTTTGTATCAGATACTCTGCTAGGTGTAGAAGACACAATAATAAAGAAACTATATACAGCTTTTGACATTAGCCTAATGGAAGAGACAAACTTTTAGTTAAAAGGCCACAAAAATGTTATGATTAATTATTTTTATACATACTTGTAAAGAATATGTAAGGATCAGGGAAGCTTAGAAAACATTAAATTTAAATAAAAAACATATATAACAACAAAATTGAAATAAAAATTTGGAGAATGACAAAAATTGATGCATTTAAGACACAACAAAAAGTTGGAGATTAGTCATTGAGTCTTGACCAAAAAATTATTTTTAAGAAGAAAAGTTAAAGTGATAAGAGCCTTTTATAAGAACTTCTTTCTCTTTAAACCATAATATTTACATAGTTTTTTTTCCCCCCAAGGGGAAGAGGATGGCATTCACCTGAAAAAAATAAGGATACTTAAACATATTTCACTGCAAGATACGGTCTGCCTATGTTTTTTGAACAGTGAAGTCTATGATGATATGGCTTTCCGATGAAAATATTTCTCCCCTTCCTCCTTTCGGGCGACCCTTTTGCTCTCCTCCGGAATGCCTGTCTGGGCCATGTGGGCAGGGCCTGTGCACTGCATCGCCCCAGGTAGCTCATTCCCCTCCTGGTGCACTTGAGACAGTTGGTTCTTGGCATGTGAGATGCTCCCCAGGAGAATGTTCTCAACCTTCTTCTCCCCTCACATTCCCTTCTTATTGTGTGATAGCTCTAGTCTCTGTTTTCAGGACACCTCTTCAGTGTGCGCCAAACCCTGTGTAGTTAACTTTTTACAGCCTATCTCCCCACGGCCATCTTACAGACACTTCAGACTGTCAGTACATTCCCGATGGGACTTACCTATCTTCTGTACAGCTCTTCAGATGTCATTTTGGGAAACATCCCCTCATCACGCCTAGAAGCAGCGTTCAAGGCAGAGTGAAACAGCATGATGGTTAAAACAAGAAATTCCCGGCCTGGAGGCGCTCCTTAGCAATTCTGCTCTGTGATTATTTTCTATCTCCTTGTTCAACTAGTCCCTGCAACGCTAGCCTAGCCCATAACCACCAGAATCGGATCGGTATCAGACACGTGAAACAGACGCAGAACATCACTCTGAGGATGAAAACAGTCACCAGAATTCTTTGATAGTTACCAAAGAAGTGAGAGTTCTGAAAGATTTCCTTTGAGTATGGTTATTGACTTATCAGATATAAATCCTGCTTGAATTTTCTTATGAGGAGCCATGAACCAGGACTAACATGGTTGTGATAGATACAATTTTTTTCTTTGACTTTTCATCAAATGCTGTTCTCTGTATTTATCATGCCATTTTATTTTCTGTATTTCTGAGGCTTTGGTATCTGGGGCCTGTTGACTCTGGAGAGACTGGCCCTCCCAGTGCTAGCTGTTTCCTAGAAAGAGTGAAGAAGGACTTGTAGAGCATGCCTTTCATATGCGAACCGACCAAGCCAGAGCCCACATCCCCACCAACTCCTCCGCTGGGCTTTCATACTCAGGGCCAGTACTCCTTTGCCCTAATCACCCCAGGGGCAGGTACCAGAAAACTAGGAACAACCCCTATACCCTCGAATCCACTGAAATTATTCAATCATAAACTTGCTTACCTGCCTTGCCAGTTCCTGCCCACAGAAACCACAGTAAAGGCTCTCGCCCACGTTTTTATCGTCCCCAGCACCCTCATCAGCTCTGTGCTTGTCCGTGTGGCCCTGTGTGAGGTGCCATGGCCCCCTCCTCTTGGGAACGGTAACAAACTATCTTTAAAATGCAGCCATCTCCTGACCTGCTGGCTTCACCATACCTAAAAATAATAAAATATATTTTCAGACATGCTCACCCTTTCAGAGAAGAGCTAGATTTCATAGCTTGTGAAACTGACGTTGCTTTCACATCTTACAGAACTGACTTGACCAATTGCCTTTTCCTCTTTTCCAAAGCATGTACTACTGTTATGCAAGTTTATCAAGCCCATTGGTTCCTAGAGCCTCTCTGTCACTCAGAAAAGTAGGTAAATATCTTTCGTCTTTTGTCTCTGAGGAAATGCCCTCTATTCTATGGATCCTACAGTAAAATACATA